CTGCTGTTGCTCCGACGTTATTATGAGCCCTCAAACCTCCCACTGCAGAGAGGATGTTTAAGGGGTTTTTTTTTTCACAGAAGGGCAAGGTTACAAGTCAATTCTAATTTGAGTACTCTATTCCTGCTTTCTTTTGCTTAACAGTGTTCTAAAGGAACACAGTGACGGCTGAACAAAGCTGAGATGAGTGAAAACACAACTTCAAAACATTATGATTACCTTTTTTATCACCTTTAATAGTATATGTTAAAAGTATACTGAAGCTGTCAGCGTTTACACAGTAATCAAGATGCGATTCAGGTGAGAAATTAACACTTTAAATGTTTTTATTTGCAATAATCGCATGCTTTTAAAAATTTATTATTGTTACCTTTTTTATGTTATATTTTTGGGGGAGATTTTGGCCTTTATTGGATAAGACAGCTGAAGAGAGACGGGAAACGTTGAGGAGGAGAGAGCGAGGGATAACATGCAGCAAAAGGACCAATGACAGATTTAAACCCACGGTCTACAGCCTCCGTACACGAGGCACGTCATAACCGCTAGGCCATCCTCGTGCCCCAAATCGCGTGCTATCTCGTCCTTTTGGGCGCATTGTAGCTAAGCCGCTGTATCATCTTCTCCTGCAGTTATGGAAAAACGACCTTGCAGACCTTTATGTATGACTCCTTTCACTTAAAAAAAACCAAAAAATCCCACAGCAAAGTTGACGAGTCAAAAGTTAGTATCCACCCTGTGTCAAAGAGTTGTGTCAAACTAAAATATACCCTATAAAAATGGCTCAAAGGAACGGTACAATAGTGACATTTTTGATGTCATGAGGTGGATATAACTTTGGACTCGTCAGCTGAGCTGTCTGAGAGTTTCTTAAAGTGGAATGAGAAATTCAAAGATGCCGCAGTGTCCTTCTTTTATCACTGTGACTACAGGGAGACACTGTGGAGGCTTATCTACGGTGCGCCTGAAGGGACAAAAAAAACATTGCAATTTATGAAAAAAATTAATTCAGAACTTAATTTTTTTCGTGATAAACTAGTAAATGCTGACAGCCCCAAAAAATGGTAGAGTGAGACTTAAAGCAACCTGACCGTTACAGTCATATTTATCTCATTCATATCTCATTCCAACTCAAAGTTTCTATTTCAGCGCCTCCTGTGGACAAAGAGGGAACTCATATCTTTTAGCTGGTCTGGTTGTAAACATATTTAATATTTGACACTCATTCATTAACATTTCTTCAAACAGAACCTTGATGTTGATTTCACTGCACACACAACAACAACAATATACACACATCACGCTAAGTCGGCATCCTTTGCTGTAACTTTGAGCCAGCGACTACTACTCGTAAAAGAACATTTGTCTTCTGTAATTTTATTGAAATTAATCCTTTTTTACATGTAACACAACAACACTATAGGAAACACTAAATACCAATACCCATTGATACCAGTTGGATCTGATTGGATGTAACGATTCCAAAATACGGTCCAGTTTTAGGACAGATCCTCTCTGTGCGGAGATGTAGCCGCTGGCCAGTTCATGTCTGTGTGTGTGTGTGCGTGTGTGCGTGTGTGTCCATCTCTCTGTGGACTTCCCCACTAAACTGGCTCATTATCTCGCACACTGTGATCATTACAGAGCCGTCTCTGGAGATGCACTCTCTCAGGTGAAAACCCAGGGGACACACACTTCAGGGAATAGCACAGTACAGCACAACACACACACACACACACACTGCTTTATTACTTCATCTGATACTTTTCTGCAGCAGTATCACTGGCAGCTGATTGCTCATATGCAGCTCAACTACACTAATGTCTTCCACATGTTACACACACACTCGGACACGCACACATGCACACACACATCTGCCAGGGAGTTTTGCTCAGTTAGCTCCGTTATTACAGACCAGCTGTCTGCCCAATTTCCTTGAGTCAGGAACATCTGTGTGTATGAGGCCTATACTTTCTGTCACTCGCCACACACACACACACGCACATTCTCTTTTACTCTCTCTCTCTCTCTCTCTCTCTCTCTCTCCCTCCCTCGCTCGTGTATGTGTCATTATTAAAAGTCTGTCAATGTGACAGGTAAAAGAAATCCACCCTAAAGGGTAAAAATTTAGAGCTGAGGGAAATATGTGTGGCAAGTGCAACCGTCAGCAAACCTGTGTGTGTGTGTGTGTGTGTGTGTGTGTGTGTGTGTGTGTGTGTGTGTGTGTGTGTGTGTGTGTGTGTGTGTGTGTGTGTGTGTGTGTGTGTGTGTGTGTGTGTGTGTGTGTGTGTGTGTGTGTGTGTGTGTGTGTGTGTGTGTGTGTGTGTGTGTGTGTGTGTGTGTGTGTGTGTGTGTGTGTGTGTGTGTGTGTGTGTGTGGTGGGTGGGTGGGGCAGGTGTTTCTTTGCAACATTTTTCTGTTGTTCTCATTGTCTGTGCATGTCTTCTAGACTCCCTCTCTCACTGTGGAAGTCTTCTTTTAGTATATTTTACAGTATGTATACATTTTCATTGTGTGTGTGTGTGTATGTGTGTACAGTAGTGTGTGTACAGTAGTGTGTGTACAGTAGTTTTCCAGGCTATTAGGCTGCTGACTGAGGTGTACAGTAAAGCTATTGGCGGGCTAAAGATAAGCTTGGGGATTGCTTTGCTGCTGGGCCCTTTCAGCAGCCATGATAATGCAATTCTGTCAGCCTCTGTATATATGTGTGTGTGTATTCTTGGGGGTGTGTGTGTGGGGGGGGGTGTGTGTGTGAGTGTGTGAGTGTGTGTGTGCGCGTGTGCGCGTGTTTGTGTGTGGGTAACTTTCTTGCTGTTCCAGTGAATGTAGGCTGAGGCTCTGCTTTGTCTTTTTGCTCCTATTTCTGTATCTCTGTATGTTTATCCTACATGTGACTTTTATCTTTTTAGGGTTCATGAATCAAAAACAATAAATTGATTAACTGATTGCTTATTAAAAATATAAGATGCTCTTATTAAAAAGAGAGAAAAGAGAATTTGCAGCATTTTTAATATCCCACACTGTTGTGAACTGAATCCTTTGGAGAATTTTTATTATCATCCGGACAAAAGAAGCAAAATGAACACTTCAGCGTTTTGTTTTTTTTGTTTTTACCGCAGCGTCTCTCTGAGTTTGCATGTTGTCCCTTTGAGATTGGGTTCTCTCCGGATACCCCAGCTTCCTCCCACAGTCCAAAGACATGCTTGTTAGGTTAATATTTGACTTTAAATAACCTGTAGAAGTGGATGTGAGTGTCAGCCCTGTGATTGACTCGTACAATCCAGGGTGTAACCCCGCCTCTCGCCCAATGACAGCTGGGATCAGCTCCAGCCACCCGCACCCCCGAAACGGGAAAAGCAGTACAGATAATGGATGGATATTTCATATCCCTGAAGGGACAATCCAAGACTCATCCAACATAGGATAAAAGCTCTACTTGTACACCGGGGTGTCCAAATCATTGCACAAATCGTAGCCAATTTTTACACTTGCACCTCACTCCTGGAAACTTCCAAAAAGACGGTATTTTTCTCTAAACTTCTTTCTTCCAGCCCCCCGAGTAGAATTCACACAAGAAGTCAGGCCAATGTGTGAAGGCGGTTGTGATGGCATCTATTACCTGCAACTGGTGCAGAGCCAGTGGGCTCTTCTTATCAGTAATAAAGCATCTACAAAAACGTCTCACTATGGGAGATGTGTGAAAGGGAAATTCAGGAAAATGTCCTGCTGTCCTGTGTGAAGGAGTCTTTTCCTGAGTGCTCTGTAATGTTTCTTTTCAGCATGGCTCATAACTAGTTAGATTATGTTGATGGAAAAGTGATGGGAAAGTTAAATCACATACTTTTTACTAGATGGGCCACGTTGCCTTCAAGTGATGTATTAAGCCAACCTGATACCATGCTGGTTGACTACTTACTGTTTAAGTAGAACTAAGGAAAGAGCTTCCATTGGCCGCCAGAAACACCAGTCTACTCTGACAATGCACATGTTTAGTTGTGTGTTAGTATATGACTTCATCCATCTGGGCTCTTATTTTGAAACCTGTACCTACTGGTAACTTCAGCATTATTTACTCCTAAATAATCCAAACTAGCATGTATGGTCCTCCTTCATCTATGCCTGCCTCTCTCTGTCTGCACATTCTTTTTTTACTCAGAGTCCAGCTTTATAGTTTCCTGAAGTCCTCCCTGAAGAGCCATCACCACAACTTGATTTGAGCTCTGTGCAGCCTTTGGACAAACTGCATTTCTATACTTGCACTATATTATCCCGCTTTCTCCTTCGCTTTGTGTTTCTCTTCTTCTTTTTTTGTTAGCTGGGTGGTGTGGCAGTGAAGTATCGCTGTTCATTTTCTTTTTCTGAGGTGAAAAACATCCCGCCTCCCTATACCACTCATTCGCTGAACGACACAAGAGCTCCAACTTCAGCTAAGTTCTGCCTTTCTCCTCGGAGGGAATCTGATTAGTTGATGTTTATGGGCTTCGGAAGCTTCCCTTCAGGCTCCGTTGAGATGACTTTTGCTGGTTAGCGAGCGAAGGTAGTGCACAGAAACAATAAGCGCTGTCGGGACAGAGTCAGAGTAAAACAGACGATGGAGAGAGGAGGGAGGTTTATCATTTTGACAGAGAGCGAAGACGTTTTCTCAGAAGGAAAAAATCTGTATATATGTGTCTGTGTGTTTGTAATACTGCACATACAATGAAGTGTTCATGCATGTTTTCCTGAATGCCTCTTCCTATTTAACCTATTTTTTTTTAATTGTAAGACTCCTATCTGTTTAAAAGCATCATTAATTAAATAAGATAGAGAGGGATTGTTCTTACCTTTCTGGTAGCTGGTATGTCATGTTTCTCTGTTGTTCAATTTGAGCCGTGTCTCTGTTTAATGATAAGAAGAAAGTCTTTTCATTAGTTTTCACCTTGAATTATGTGCTTTTGAAATGTCACAGTGTTTATGCAGGTTAATAAAAGACGCTTCTGTTTCTCTTTGTCTTGCTGCTGCAGTTACGTCCGTGTTGCCTTCGAGTGAAGAACAGGCCCCCGTCCCGCAGAACAAGTCCATGGGCGACATCGAGGAACTCGCTTCCAGCTATGAGCGCAAACTCATTGAGGTGAGCTCTTTTTTATTTTTTTTTGTTCCCTGTATGAGTCACTCTTTCAGAGAGTGCCACATTGTGTTCCACATATTCAGTGAGGTCTGTGGTTTGAGGATGCATTACATATTTAAAGGAATGTCTGTAATATTTTAATGAGTTTCATATTTTGGGAATCACTTTTTTTGGGGGGGGATTTTTGATTTAGAAAGCTAGAGGGAGCAGGTGAGTATCGTGGCTTAGCATGAAGCCTTTCAGCAGATGACTGGAGGAGACGAGGAGTTACTCTTAAAAATATGTTCCATTTATTTACAACAAAGTTAGTCAGTCAATTTAAAAGCTATTATGAGATGTGGAAGTCAGTGTATCAGTTGTGTATGCATGATTGAAGTGATGTAATGTGTTGTGAGGAAAATCAAACAAAATGAAAAAAGGAGCCTGGCTGAATTAGCGAGCAGCCTCTCTTTAGCCCTTTTCAGACTTCTAACTAAACTCAAGCGTCATCACGTCTTTGTACATTCATATTGTTCCAGCGATGGAGTCATATCGGTGTCCCGGTCGGTGAATTCCTGTTGTGCTTCAGCGTTGTGAAAGCACAGCATAGCGGGAGCTCCACATCGACACACACAATGCTGCGCTCCCCCGCTGGCTCCGTTGATACCATCTCGCCTCTGTTACTACCTCTGAAGACGCTACAGAGGCGGGAGGATCACTTCCTTTACCCATAATGCCTCTGCAACATTCATGTGTAGGTGAAATGTCTCAGGGGCGTAAATATCTCGGCAGTCTGAGTAAGGCTTCTGTCCCTCTTTCTCCTTCTCTCCCCCACACCTACTGGCGCCTGAATCACACAGAAACCTAAATTCCAACAGATGTGCGTTCGGTTCGTCTTCGTTACAGAAGCAGAGCTGATTTATAACGAAGCGGCAACCTCCACTCTTGAAAAATGAAGCCAATGCGGAAATGCTAAATCCTGCAGTGCGTCGGGCTTCGTCCATCATTATTTACAGTCTATGGTTTTAACTTTATTCAATGTGTGTGCTTCCACTGGCTCTGCTCCACTGCGCTGCGTCTCAGCTCTGTCTAAGCTCCGGCAGTCTGGAGCCCTCCGCAGCAGATTAGCAAGGCTTCTATTTTTGTTGGATGCCGGAGCTTCAATTTAGCACAGAAAAGATCGAGCGGGACGGAAAGTCAGACACCAAAACAACATTTAAACGTCTGGTTGAATTTCAGAATAAAACAGGAGCGTGCCTATGTTCCCACATTTCTACGATTTTTTTCAAAATTAGGCCCTATGTTCTCACATTTCCTTTTTCATAAATTTGTATCAGTTAGGGTAACTTACCCTAACCCTTTCCCTAACCCTACCCTGTGGGAACATAGGGCTGACCCAAATAATAAAACACTCCGTTTTGACAGTTCAGAACAATGACCTAGTTTGTGTCTGGTTTATACGGCTCTATAACTCATATCTCATCTTGCGCTGTCGCAAGTGAATCTTTAAAGTGAACGTGGGAATGCCTTTGTCTCTGCACTCCAGGTGGAGTTCTGGTGAAAGTTCTGGCAGACCGCACAAAAAACAAAAATAGCAACCAGCAGGGTCTCTAACATAAAATCTTGATTGATTTTTATTGAAAGTGAAGGTTCTATCAACCATGAGATGATTATTTCATGATTCCTCGCTATGCCCATCATCATGAATCTGCGTCTGTTTTTTTGTTTTTTTGATGACAAATCGAACCACAAACTTTGAGTATTTCCTTCCAGTTTGTGTACGGATTAAACAAACAAGATAGACTGTTCATAAAAAGTCCTAATAGGCTTTTTTCTCTTCATACATTGGACATAGACAGATGTCTGTTGGCTGTTCCAACTATTTTTGCCAAACTCATGAATACTGTAGAGCTGTATCAGACGTCTTATAAACTCTCAGCAATAAAGTTCCAGTTTCTCCTTGCTCCAAACAGAAAGTCGACTTCTTCAGTCAAAAGTTATTTCCTGTTCATTTTAGTGAAGAGGATAAACATGATCTCTCCATCTGTATTTCCCTCTTTGTATCATCTGCTGGTGCCAGAACCTCAAACAGCATTAGCTGTGTTTGCTGTAGATATGGAGTTCAAGTCAGAGCTGCTGCCACACACACATCAGCGAGCAGTGTAGCAGCCAATAATCACTCTCTAAAAGTCAATTCACTTATATTAGTTATTTCATGTATGAATTGATCTTACTGGGGCCCTTAGGGCATTTAAAAATACTTTAATTGTTCATTAACAATTCAGGATAAACAAAGAATGCTAACCTGTGTTCGCAGGGGGGGAAGGAAACTTCTGACCAAACTGCTCCGTTTAACAAATCAGAGAATTATTCTTTTTGCAGCTGCATTGATTTAAAATTCTACACAGTGCCGAGAGATAATCCCTGCTCAGAAGCTTCTCAAAGATACAGATTGCAGTGCATGGTGAATATCTGTAACAACGGGACAGCAGATTTAATGTAACCATCTGCATGGTGGTATGATGGGAGTCAGGAACAATGAGAAAGACAAGACAACACAGAACATCTGAGTATTGTAATGTGTGCTGTGGTGTAGGGAGGGGGGGTCGTCCACATGAATAATTAATCATGGTGTTATATTTCTTTAATAAGAAATAATTCCACCTGTGTTTAGCCAAACTACATTCCCACTTCTTTATGCACATGTATGTGTGGTGTATTTTTAATGGTGTTTACTTATTTATTTGACCATTTGGCTTGGCTGTCAGTCTCCACCTGGTGTTCTCAGCGAGCCTGGAGGACCAGTATGGGACACAAAAGCCCCACAGGCTGCCTGCTGGTCCCAGGCCAGCCGGGCTGCTATGGCTATGTTAAAGAAGACCATTAAGAAAATGATATTGTTTCTTGGTCCATGGTTGACAGTCTGATGGTAAACATTCTCAAATTAGAGATTTGGTTTAATTTATTTTATTTCCAACATGTAAAAAACATAAACAAACAAACAAACAAAGAAATGCTGTAATTAAAAACATGTTGAAGACAAATAAAATATCAACACATTACATGCCCGAAAAGGAGTAGGAAGACGTTTAAATGTATCTAATCCTTCCCCCTTTAACTCAAATATATAATATAAATAATAGGTATTCATTTGTATTAATTGTCTAATAGTATATAATGTAATATATTATTAAATAATTACTTTTATGACATTATCTAATAATCTAATTAATCTAATTACATCAATAATGCCTATTCACATCACCAAGATTTCATTGACTGTAAATATGAATGGATGAAGTCTAAGTGATGTCATCCATCTGTTGAGGGTCATAGGTGGAAGATGCCATGCTGGAAATCTTGTTTCACCTTAACTTTCAGTCAATCTAAGTAGCTGGAGCTGAGGTTGGTTTTAAGCCTTATGACAAACCCTTACATCACGCCCACCTGTCAATCAAATCAGCTAAGCACCTAACTATGGAAAACATGTATTGTTTATAAAATCAAAACGGATGCATTATAAAAAAATAATCACCCCGCTTACAGTCTGTGCCCATGAGGACAATAACTTATCAGACCTATTTTGTGTTTTGCACCAGGCTGTCAACATGTTCATTTCTGCTGTAAAAACGGCTTTTTTGCTGTGTTGTGTATGTGACTCTTTTTACAGCCTTGAGAAAAATCAAGAGTTGTCATCATTTTTAACCAATTTTTCCAACCGGCTGGTTCTTAAACAGTCGCCTTTTATTCTGCAGAACTGTGGAAAAGATGTGTAAGATTATATTAGGCTGAAGAGGGACACCAGAAATATAAACAAAAAATAATGCAGTGAGTGTTAGTTCTGTGTATTTTTCTTTCTGCTGACCCTGAAGGAATGCACACAAACACATACTGATGGCAGGATTCAGAAAAAGTGCCATTTACATGAGCAGCTGTCAACATACTGATTCAGCAGTCACTGCAGCCACTGAGACAAACTGTGACCCAGCAGGTTATTGATTTTTCAAAATGTCACATCGAGTCCTCTTGGATTTATGCAGGCCTGCCAGACACAAATAAATATTGGACAGAGACCGGCATTCATTAACCTGGGAAACGGGCCGGAGTTAGTGACCTAGTTTGGTTTAATGATGCTAATGTGTTGTATTGACTTGGACTTTGTTTGTGTTTGAGCCAAAACTCAAGGCTCTTTATTCTCTTTTGTAACCCATCCTCTGCTGTTCATACGTCCTGCTCGGTCTGATACTGTGCAGGAGAAATACAATGTCTCAATTTCTATAAGCTTAGTTAGGGTTTAAGAGTAGGGAAACATATTTCCATGTGTCCAAACTTTAAGTGCCAAATTCTACATTCGTTCAAAGTTGTTTTGTGTGACAGCACTACAGTGAATGGATGGATACAGTGGATGGATGGATGGATGGACACAGTGGATGGATGGATGGATGGACACAGTGGATGGATGGATGGATGGACACAGTGGATGGATGGATGGATATAGATGGATAGATACAGTGGATAGATGGAAGAATACAGTGGATGGATGGATGATGGATACAGTGGATAGATGGATACGATGGATGGATACAGTGGATAGGTGGATATGATGGATGGATACAGGAGATAGGTGGATATGATGGATGGATACAGTGGATAGGTGGATATGATGGATGGATACAGGAGATGGATGGCTATAGATAGATTTATAGATGAATGGATATAGATAGATAGATACAGTGGATAGATGGATACAGTGATTGAATAGATGGACGGATATAGATAGATTTATAGATGGATGGATATAGATAGATAGATACAGTGGATAGATGGATACAGTGATTGAATAGATGGACGGATATAGATAGATTTATAGATGGATGGATATAGATAGATAGATAGATAGATAGATAGATAGATAGATAGATGGATGAATGGATACAGTAGAGAGAGGGAGAGAGGGGGGAGAAAGAGAGAACAGCTTTTTATTTTTTCCAAACTAAGCCTTCGGGGGCTCCGTGCAACAAAAC